CTGGAAAGATGGAGAATTCACTCTTAAAAAGGCATACAACATTTGCAGACAAACCAGACCCACTCAAATTAATTACATTTACTGCTGGAATAAGGATCAAATACCCAAGGTAAAGTTCTTCCTTTGGAGAGTTATCAATTCATTACTACCATTTCCAGAAAAGCTAAGGACAATGGGGGTGCAACTAGCCTCTGTATGCCCACTATGCAAGAGTAAGGAAGAATCTAAAGATCATGTCCTACTTCAGTGTGAGTGTAGTATGGGTCTTTGGAGGTTCTTTGCAGAGGCAGTAGATGGACCTACTCCTAGAAACAACTTAAACCTTAATCAACACATTTTGGAATGGAACCTTACTCAAAGAAGGAATAACCTCAAAGGACATTTGCGTGGCATCCTTCCAGGGATTATTGTATGGCATATTTGGAAAGAATACAATAGAATAATCTATGAATCAGACTCGCCTAACATTTCAAAGGTCAAGCGGGGTATCCTAGAAACACTAAGAGACTGAAGTTGGAAGAAGAGGAGGAAAAAATGGATGATCTTGGATAACAATCTCACTAACCTGGGCTTTAACCTGTTCTTTCTGTCTGGGAAGGAGATTCAAGGCGGAAGGATTCCACTTCTGCGATCGGTTGGGTTACAGATTTAGATGGCAGGTAGTCTCGAAGAGAAGGGGGAGAAGGTGATCTACGTGAGATGTAATTGAGGGTGTTTGTCGGTCAGACTCTGAGGTTGACCTTCTTATTTGTCTTTTGACTTTCTTTTTTGTTTTACTTTCGGGGCTTCGGTCTAGTCCTCCCTGGATGTGTATTAATTGTGTTCTCTAATAAATTGGTAAGGGTGGCCTGGACCTTACCCCACTAATTTTGGTGGTTATTTTCGGGTGTATATATATATATATATATATATATATATATATATATATATATATATATATATATATATATATATATATATATATATATATATATATATTCAAAACAACATATTATATTAATGTAGCCGAATAAAGATGCAAGTTTTGTCACATTTGATTGCTCCCCTAACATTTTTGGGGAGTGTATTGAATGCGAGAAAGTCAGAATAAAGATTGTTTGTAAGTGCATAGTGGGCGAGATTGTGTGCGGCTGTGTTTCCCTCACGGTATATGTGTTTGGCACTTCCGTGTATTGTTTTCAAGATTGCGTCTATGTTGAAACTAATAATATCTCCTCTGTTTGTGGTGTTGATTCTGTTGATTGCATTTTTAGAGTCCATGTGGAGATTAATTGTTCCTTTCTGAATAGATGTGGCCCATTGAAGGCCCAATAATCCTGCTTCTGGTTCCCCATCTTCTGCGTTTGTCTCTTGTTGAAGCTTCCTTGTTATCCCGCCAATAAAATCACCATTTGCTGATCGTAGAATTGCGCTTCCTGCCATTCGACCGTTGCCCACCGCCACGTCTGTGCTCACCGTAGTGTTGGTTGCTTGCCACCTGAAGATTCGGATGGTCTGTTTCTGTGTGAGGGGGTATTCAAGGTTGAGAGAAATTTTCCCTTTCCCTTTTCCTAATGTCCATTCGATTATCTTGTTCCAGATGATTTGGATGATCTGAGAGGTTGTTTTTGATTCGTCTTGATGTTTTCTTCGATTCCTTTCCTTCCAGATTTCAAATGCTATGATTCCTGGTGCGATTTGCTTTTGTGGATTGCTATTTCTTGTATG